AATAGGGATTGCTACGTATTTATTGCCGTTATGGAACAACACTGCTTTAACGCTTTTTTTAAAGGAATCTATAAAGAGCTGCCAGTCATCGGACTTATACACACCTACTTGATATGTATTGATAAGTCCTTCTATATCATTATAATAAACTAAGAAATTTTCACTATGTAGGCCCCTTGTGCATTCTCCCTTGGAGGCTTGAGGTGGTATGAGAAGGTATGTCGTTAGGTGACGATACCGCTTACTCGTTGCCAATGACGAGTTACCGCCGCCCCAACCCCCCGACCCACACTTCATCTCGGCCGCAGCCTGGCGGAGCGCACGGCTAGCTCAACGTCCTGGCGGAGAAGCGCACGGCTCACTCAACGACCTGGCGGAGCGCACGACTCGCTCAACGGCCTGGGGCACGTCCGATCAGCGTGGGCGTGGGGTCAGAGAGCGCTCACGCGCATTCGTCCCTATAAAGTCAAGCCTCACACACATGCGTGCTGCTAACGACAACCAGAGATTGACGACTGGTAGCCGGGAACGACGGCTTAACGTCCCCTCCGAAGGACGGGGGGCGACTCAACGTACTTTCACCGGGATTTGAACCCGGGACGTCTGCGTGTTAACTCGAGAGCTAACACGCTGAGCCATCACGTCCCTAAAAGTGGAAATTTTCACTAGAAAAATATTTCAGAAATTCCTCATCTCTTTTTCTGTACGCTGTAATTTTTGTTCCGGGTAACAACATGTTCCTCTCTTTAAGTCTTGAAGCCAATAATTCAGCTGAATCTTTAGAAAGACTAAGATCGCGAATAAGATCATCTAATGAATCTTGATCAAAAAGTTCAGGGTCTTTTTCACTAACAGAATCCCCATAATCACTGTCCTTTTCACTTTCAACAGATCTCATTTCTTCAAATGCAACACATATTTTACAGCCATTAGATGTTGGTTTTTTCCGTCCATTAAAATTGAAATGGAAACAAGCCGTCCACAAATGGAAAACACAAAATTTGGGTGAAAAGTTAAGCCAAGAACATTTTGCTCCCGTTTTAAAAGATGCCCTTGACAGTGTTAATAATAAGGAAACAACCCTTTTAAATACTTTCAGGGCATGTGGATTGTGTCCTTTTGACGAGAATCACATTAATTTTAAAAAATATTTTAAAGAAGACATCAATATTATCTCTATCCAAAATAGTCCAGTACAAAACAAAGCCTTTGATCTTATACAATATATGGAGAAGGAGATGCGACCAGAGAAGCTGAGGAGTTTTCAGATAAGTGGAGATGTTTGGGAAGGATGCACAGAAGACACAAGTTTATTTTATCTTTGGAAAGGTTTAAAATTAAAATGTCAAAACTTCGCAGAAGAAAACGAACAACAAATTGAACAACAGGACAATGATGAAGAAACCGTACGAGTAACAGTGCACCAAGAAGATAAGCCTGACTCTTATGAGGACACTACTTTTCAAACACATACAGATTTAATTAATAAATCAGCATTGTCATCAGGTATTGATAAATATATTAATGAAGAACTAGACAATTTTAACGATTCTATACAAAATCTGAACATTGATTTATTAGAAAAATCTGATATGATAATATCTCTAGATGAACATGAGTATGAAGTTCTTATCGAGAAGTCACAAGAAAACCCCCCATTAAAGTCGGTTGACCAAACTCAAATAATAGATGTTTTAAATTTGGAACAGGGTTACATTGACCCTTTAAAACCGTTGCAAGAAAGTACACTACCAAACTCGAAGGAACATAGGCAAGAAGATGTAGCAGGAAAAAAAAATAATAGATGAAACCAAAGAAAACGTTCCTACACCTTTTAAAAAAGCATTGTTTTGGCCTGATAAAGCTAATAGTAAATCTGTTAAGCGAAAGTTTAAAGAAAACATTCCTACAGTTGCATCGTCCCTGGAATGGCAACATTACCACTTAAGAAAGGAAGAGGCAAAGGAGCTACAAGAAAAGGCAAAGGAAGAAAGAAAACAAAAGAGAATAAAAAAAATGAACTCAAAGCCTGAAACTACAAAAACATCAAAACAAGAATTGAAGTCAAATTGTGTTGTGGAAGTAGGAGAGTACTGCATTGTGGACTATAACGGTTCTGAGTTCCCTGGCGAAGTTTTAGAAAAAAATCAAAGAGAAATAAAAGTTAAGGCTATGACACCCAGCGGAACAAACTGGAAATGGCCATAGCGTGATGATGTTTTGTGGTCAAGTCATGACCAAAGATTTTATTAAAAAAATTCAAAAACCAAAACCAATTAACAAACGAGGAATTTATGAAATTTGTAATATTAAGTAAACATATTTTCTAGCTAATTAGTTAAAGTGATTTTTTTAATTTTTTTGTTATTTTGGATCCACTTGGGACTTTTTTTAGTAGAGTTTTTGTTATTTTATTTTTTTTGCAATTTTAGCCAAAGATTTGTTTAAGTTATTTTATTTTGTTTACTAAATGGCTTCTGTAGTATATTTTTGCATTTTATTTTAAATAAAAACGGGTTTCATATTTTATCGTCTATTATTTAAAGCATAATTGCTTGGTATTATTAACTTGGACCTCTTAAAGAGTCAAAAAATAAAAACATTTTTTTGTGAACAAAATAGTATGGAAAAATAATGAAAATGAATATTATATTAAGAGTCGGTCAAACATTTACGGCTTTACGGTCAAAGACTAGATATTATTGGTCAAATAATGTAATCAAAGTGGTCAAACACTAAAAGCGAAATACTGTTTTCCTTTTTAATTTTAAAAAAATATTACATCACGATGTTATATTTTATATGTAGGGTAAGTAACTTTAAATGAATCAGATGTGTATTTGATCATATTTTGATCATTTTATTTAAAGGTACAGAGAAGATCCACAAGAAAAATAATATGGATTGGTCAAACACAGGCATTAAAAAATCCTTAACAGGTCAAACACTGGTGCGTTTACCCTAGTTTTTTTGATATTATAATATTCTTTATGTTTAAAAGTTTGACTCTCAATATCTATTGCATAGTCAATTGGTTTGTATGAAGAGTTGGGGAATGTATATTTGTAACCTAAGTTTAGTAAATCTATTTCGTGTTGCTGAAGATTAGTATTTGATAAATTAGTAAATCTAGGTGCATATTCAATGTCATCCAGATTTGAATAATCTACTTTTAGTGTAATGTCACCATTGTTCAGAGTTTTAATTTTAAAAATATTATTACTTTTTGGTCTTTATTATTTGTCTGTCTTTTGAAATTGTTATTCTTTTCCTTAATAAGAGATTGTAATTTTTGACTTCTTTTTTGATTACCTTTATATAATTTTTGAAAAATGTTTTCTTTGATCTTTTCAAGAATATTTTCATATTCTATGAAATGTAATTTCTTTATTAGCAGTTTATGAATATATTTCAATTTCATGTCAATAAAACACCTATTGGAAAAACCGAAACTGGTCGTTGAGAACAAAAATTTTTAAATAAAATTTAATCTTCAGAAATACATTCTGTATTATTTTCACCGATTACTATAATTCACCTGAAGACAATGGAGAAATTCATTAATTTATTCTTGTATTGTGTTCCCTCTCTAGACGAGTTTCTTTGTGTACAAGTTCAAGAATTTTCGGGTTTTGTTAAAAAGAAAAGGATGAACATTATATTGTAAAACTCAGCCGTGTTAAAACTTCATTCATAATGTTCTTCTCTAGCATTATTTCTCAAATGTTATTAATTAACTCCGAATAGTAAAATAAAGTTTAGTTTAATTCAAGTAAGTGTTTATCGTTCAGTTCGAAAAGTTCTTCATTCTCAAGTAAGTTTATTTCGGTATAAAACATATTGAAATTGTCTAAGTCTATCGGTTTTCGAATTATTTACTTTTAAATGTTTAAATGTATTTCATTTCCTAAAATTTTTATTTTTTAACATAAGCAAAGTTGGGTTATTTTTCTGCTTATGTTTCGACAATTGCCTATTAATTGTCAACATTGATGTAATTTCCGTGTGCAATAATCATTTTTACCAACAATAAAGTTATTACCAATTTGAAAATGCCACGACATAATGAGTTTTTTAATAGCGAGAAATCCAGATTAAAGTCCACTGGATTTTTGAAAATGATCACAACATTCTATTGTTATTAATTAATTGTTATTGTTATCGATTATTATCGTTACTAATTGCTATAGTTACGGTGTGTTATTGATTTTAAATGTTAACCTTAAAATTACTTTGAAACAATTAAAAGCAGATAACTTGGAAACCAGTAGACTTACACAATGTAAGCAAGAGAACCTTTTTTATGTGGAATTGAAAACTCATGGACTTGATATCTCAAACGTACAGTGTGTATCTAGCGTCCTCTACGAGTAATCACAAAACAAATATCAAATTCGTATTTCTCATGCTCGAAAACATCTAACTACCAAATTTTATGTTAATAGTACAAAAACTTTCAAAATTATCAAGAAATTTCGAAATAAAAATTTAACTTTGAACACCCTGTGTATTAAAAACCACCGACATTTGTATAAGACATGTTAGGTTAAATGTCATATTTTGGTGTCTAGTGTCTCCGGTATTCGGATTTCCCATTCTTTCTGACTCACTCTGTAAACATATAAGACCTCAATGGTCGTGAGCCATGTCATAAAAAATCGTGAGATGTTGAAATTTGTTTAAAAATCACTCAATTTTAATAACATGTGTTACATATAGGCATAGGATGCAAGTAAAATAGTTTAGATAAATTAAAAGGAAATAAAATATTACAGTTTATGTAATTTCTTAGCGCCATCTAGCGGCGAATATATGTAACTAATAGAGAAATTTACAGTAATCTACAATTCGAGTTGAAAATGCTATGATTTTACTTTGATTTTATTAACACTAAATTATTATATTATTTTTGTAATAAAGTCGTGAGAAGTACATGTCAAATCGTGAGATCGTGAGATTAAAAGTAATGTCATGAGATCACACGATAAATCGTGAGACCTGGCAACCTTGCACGTACTTGACATTTGGCTGCCATTCTAGTTTCCATTCAAGTTGAGAGTTGATCTTGAAAAAGCTTCTTTTCTAGTGTTAACAGTTTTTGCATAAACAGCGCTGTAGAAATGTCCAAATGTTGCATATGGAATGTCTCTTGTAACGTTTACGTCAAAACATCCGTCAATTGTCATCGAATAAGAACAAAAAAGAGGCAGATTTTCAATTCTCCATTTCGAAGATGATTAAGAACTAGACGTCGGCATGGAAGAGGTAAGAATTTGTATTAAAAGTGTAAAATGACAAGAAACTTATATTATTTTATAATAGTAAATGTATTATGTATAAATAAATAAATTCAATTCCAGCAGCAGTGATTTCTCCAACAAGACGGAACGCCACTCCACTATGCCCTTCCTGTTCGAGTATATTTAAACCAATTATTTTCCAATTGATGGATTCGGAGAAGAGGCCCGATTTGACTCTGCTGTACTTCTTCCTTAGGTATACTATTTGAATAATTAGCTTAATTTTAATTTTTTATTTATTCATTTCAATGAAATTGCATAATCCCTAATGCTACTTTAACTGGGCTATGTAACTCTTCCTTAGCTTGAATTGTTGTTTAATTTATAAACAATTATAATATAATGCAATATATTCATAAATAGTGTGCCCATCTAAATCTATCATTATGATAGATAAAAAAATACATTGAGGATATTTACTTCTGATTAGTTATAATAATAGATTTCTATAGGTATAAAATGTGAGATATATTTTTATCTAATTTTTTTTTTTGTATTTTAGGTGAGGGCAATCCTTTAAAAGTATAGATAGCACCGATTTATCTCAGTTGTGCACCAGTTAAACATGCACTGAAATTACAAACACCTTTAAGAAAGTTATTTTGTTCAGCAATATAATGACATCAATTATGGTTATCCTGTAGTCTAACTTTTGAAGACAATTTCTCAATTTAACAGGTAATAGTTTAATTTTTTTGTCAAATTTGTTCATAAATTAATCAAGATAAAATTATGATCTTTTTTGTGTATCGAATCAGATTTGAATAGTATTGAATAGTCGACTTGATTCTTATGAATTGATTTCATTTTTGAGAATCGATTTTACAATCGACTCAAAATGGAAATCATATGACACTGATTCGAGTCAGATTCTGATTCTCACTCGATACTTAGACTCGTCGCATCAATAATTAATGTATACAATAATGATTCTGTATTATGACTTAAAACCACAAAAAAATCTTGTAAGACTTCTTTTGCTAAATTGCTTGAACTTGAAAAAATGTGTGCATGAAATAGTTTTTATCTGTTCAAAGAAAACTTTTTCTAAATTGAACAATAGATCTTCTATATTATCTTTTATACATAAATAACCTATAAATTGTAATGAAAGCATGATTTATCAATTACATTAAATATGCAAATTTTAAACAATACAATACAATTTTCAATTGCAAATTAATTTATTGGGAAAAATGTGCGAGTTTTCACTCTTAAAGAAATGTTACCTATTAGAACATCTGCAAGTACAGTGTTGTTTACAACAATAAAACTTTAAACTAGGAAGTGTTCAGATAATTTTAACAAGTTTTACAATGTTTCAATATAAATCTAAAAATTTAATTCTTGTTTGTAGGCTCATTCTTAGTCTTTGTTATAAGCTTTGCTGCCTATCTTCATTAAGCACACACTAATAATGTAGTAGATTTGAATGGAACCTATGAATTTCAATTATTGTGTGAAAAAATAGTCTTCTATTTCGAAAGGGGAAAGAATGTTTCCTATAAAAATTGTAGTAGTAGTTTTTTTAAAATCTATTGTAATAAAAAAAATGTGGTATACAGGTCCGTCCTATAATACAGTAAATTCGTATAGTGCTAATCGAATAGTAATAAATAATACTATAAATAATAATAAATAAATAATAAATAATAAATAATAATCTCATGTTATATGAGATTTTTTTATTTACTTGAATTATTATTTTATTTGTTTGCTAAATTAATTATGTATGACATGTGTCGCAGGCAAATGGTTATTTCAGGTAGATAAAAGAGATGAAATTCTCCATATTTCTCAAGAATTAAATAAAAATGGAAAAAATAAAAACTTTTTGTAAGAAACAACAAGAAACTTAATTTATTTCAATAAATAGACATGTTTTGAAACAAATGTTTCATCTTCAGTACCTGTTTTAAGAGAAAAAGGATAAAATTAACAAAGGCTAAACAAAATCTAAAAAATTATTATTTAAATTTGTGGTATAGACGCAAATATAGCATATATTTGTTATCTAAAATCTCGTTTAGTAACTCATCGGCGTTGTTTTTTGATTGTTTGGAACTTTCATATTCTTCCAGCAAGTCTAGCTTTAATGATTTTGGTTGATGATGTATCAGTTCCATATTATTGAGGTTTATTTTATGACCGGTTTCCGAAATATGTTTGAAAATGGCAGAGTTTTTGTCTTCTTCTACCTGTTTGACCAATGTAAATTTTATTGCAGTCATTACATGTTATTTTGTAAACCCCATTCAGTGAATGAAAATGAAATTTGTGTTTATTATTGGTGAGTAAATTGGAAATTTTGGTCGTGTTTTTGGTAGCTATGTTTATGTTGTGTTTCTTGGTTAAGGAATGTAGTTGATTGATCACAGGGTCGTAATTTAAAATAGAAATATATTTAGGTGGGGGTTTAAAGTGAGGATAAATGAATGAAAGGATTTTATTATTATGTACTTTGTAGAATATGTTTTGTAAATCTTTAATATTATAGCCGTTATTCAGACCTATTTTTATAATATTAAAGATTTCTGAGTTAAAATTATCAGTGTTAAGGGGTGTGTTAATGGCTCTATGGAAGAAGAATCTGAACGCTGCTTCTTTATATTTGAAAGGAGTGAAAGAATTTTTGGGGATTATTGTGTCAGTAGTGATGGGCTTCCGGAAAATATTAAAGGTGAGAGATAATATTGATACTATTGTTAATTTCTTTTTCAAGGGTAAATTAAAGTTTACTAAAATTGTTTATAAGATTAAACAAAGCTATTAGATTAGCATCGGAACCGTCATAAAGTATGAGGATATCATCTACATATCTACAGTAAAATTGTATATACTTGGTGTAAATGTGATTAGTTAAGGAAAAAAGTTGAGATTCTAAGTTAGAAACGTAAAAATCGGCTAGAAGGTCAGAAAGGGGTGAACCCATGGGTAAACATCGGGTATTTCATAAAAATGGTCATTAAATATGAAAAAATTTTGATCAGTTACAATTTTAAGTATATTTATTAAGTTGTTTACATCATTGTTAGTTATATTAATTGAAAAGTTATTGTTGATTTCAATTTTGTTGTTAGTGAGAAAATTTTTTATGATTTTTAAGGTTTCTTTAATAGGGACATTAGTGTATAAATTTTTTATGTCAAGGGAAATGAGTTTAGTATTTTTGTTGATTTTTACGTTACTGAACTTAGAAATTAGTTCAGAAGAGTTTTTTATAGAGTAAATAGATTTAAAATTAAAGGAATTAGTTAGAATGTTGTGTAGAGTTTTAGAGATAAGGTGGCAAGGAGAGTTAATGCCGCTAACTATGGGTCTGATGGGATGGTCATTCTTGTGTAATTTTATTAAACTATGTAATGTGGGATGTAGGGAGGGTTCATGGGCATGTGTTTTTTGGTTGAGGGAGAAAATTTGTTTAAGGTATTGGAAGATTTTTTTATTATATTCTTTAGTTTATTAGTAAAAGAAGGAAGAGGGTCTTTTTGGAGTATAGTGATATTATTCTCATTAAAGAAAGTTAAGGTTTTGGAGATATATTCCGTTTTATTAAGTAAAACTAGGCCAGCGTTTTTGTCAGCAGGTGTACAGATTATGTTATGTTTAAGAAGGTATCATTGTCGTTCCGTTTAGCCTTTGTTAATTTTATCCTTTTTCTCTTAAAACAGGTACTGAAGATGAAACATTTGTTTCGAAACATGTCTATTTATTGAAATAAATTAAGTTTCTTGTTGTTTCTCACAAAAAGTTTTTACTTTTTCCATTTTTATTCAGGTAGATAGTTTTTTCCTAGTCAGATACTGTCTGCCTAGGCAAACCGTAGTTCGTTACAGTTTTATCATTAAATGTCTAGGAAAATACTATTGGACAAGACAAATGGTATCTGTCTAAGCTTGTTTTAGGCAAATACCATTTTATCGATACAACAATGCAATATACAGTATGTCCGTAAAGTAACAGATATAGGCGATAAAATCATTATGAACGGTTTATGGAAAAATCCCTGAAACGGGTCTAAAAATTTAAATCTTTTCATATACGTCATCGATATTTTTTTCAAATGGCAGTCCATCACTTTTAATATGGAATTTGAAAGTGATTCTTTTTCAGACTCTAGACACTCAATATTAACATTGGTTACATAAGAAAATTTTCGAGAAAAATTACTTTAAAGATTAACTTCTTCAAATTTGATTGACATGATAAAAATAGCAGTAGCCATGCGTAACTATGGTAACCAAGTATTTTAAACAATTTCTTAAGTGTCAAAAACTGATTTAGTAAAGCTTGTTAAAGTGTGGTGGCGCGCCATCTTGTTGGAATAACTGCCATTGGAATTCAGGAGGGACAACATTATAATATCGTTTTGAAAAAATCTAAACATCTCCCACCAGTTAAGGTTTCCTCATAAAGTAAGAACTCGGGACAGTATCCCGTACTATTTCGCTCTATACATTGATCTTTTGCGGATATTGGGTATGCGACTTTCTTGCCCAACGTGGATTTTTTATTTGTCCATTCAACGTGAATGTTTCCTCGTCGGAAAAAATATGTTTTTGACAAAGTCTTCGTCATCGTAGCAAAATTGTTGTTGGAAAAACTACGACTCATTGCTCGTGAATAAGGTTTACTTTATAGGAGTAATATTTTGCGATTTTTAAAATTTCTTGAACCTAGATCCAAAAACTTAGTTGAAAAATGATGAGCTCTAACATACGCAATTTTGCCCCCATTTAACCATTTCGGTATTTCTTATGGTTTCTGAGATCCTAATGGTGGGGGTCGAATTTGAATTACTCTGTATAGCGAAATGACACTTTTACATTCGAGAACGAAAGTTTCGAAATCGTTTGAGATTGCAAAAGAATTTCGCTGTCGTGTATCAAAAAAATTTTTTTCGAAAACCGCGTGTTCTAAAGTTTATAAATTAATAAAACGACCAAATTCATGATAATGACATTTAGAATAATTCATTTAATGTTATGTCAAAAACTTAACGTCACATCGACTTAACCTCACATTGAACAAATCTAACTATTATAAATTTGCATTTAAACGTGAATTGAAATGATAAAACAATTAAATGTTGATTATTTTGTGTTTATAATTTGTTCAAAACAATAAATTAACAAGTAATAGTATCAAATTCTTTGATTGTTGTAGCTGGACAAAAGCTATCGTTTTGACGGTCGCTAAGTCCTACGCAAAAGTCAACTTTTAATAGCAGTTTTCGAAAATAGTATATTACAGTACAAGTGAGGAAACTATGATTTTTCATTAACTCGTATGTCGGATTTCCACACAAAGGCGAGTGTGGAAAGACATACAAGTTAGTGGAAAATATTAGTTTCCCATGTGTGCTATATAGCGTTTTGTTCAATCCTACTATTTAGAGAAAACCCATCTTAAAATTCGATAATTCCTGAGTAATTTCATGTTGGCATGTCGACGACGACATCAGGTTTTGACATTGTCATGGTCTTAATTGATATATTATGTAAACAACCATTTATTTTGTGTAAAATTTATACAAGTTGAAATAGTTCATTAATTTTCCACGTGTGCTGTCCACCGTTTTTTAGTTAACATCCGTTACGTCTAAACAAAGAGTTGTTCCTTTAAAGGTTTTGTATTTAGTTGTAGGTGGTTGAAAAAATGTAGAGTGAGTGAAAAAAATTTTCACTCACTCGTTTCTATGAAAGTCAGCAAAGTGAATACAAATAACAACTTTTAACACTCGTATCCAAGTTAGAAACTGACAATTGCGAAGGTAGGATTGAACAAAAGACATTTTTAAGTATTCAAATTACAACAAATACAGGTGTAACAAATCTCCGTTGTCACTTCTATCGAGTTGGTTGATAATTCTTTCTCCATAATCGTGTTTTCTTCCGTGATTTCTTGGTGAAGTTATTTTCTTTCAAAATTACCTAACAGGTAGTTGGTTTAAAAAATATGCACAAGATTGGTTTAAATTAACATTAATAATGAAACTACTAAAAAGTTTTAACATAACTGAATAATTAATTACAATTTTCTATTACTACGTACCATGTGGAAGCATTCACAATAATAATTTTTCCTAATAATTATGAAGTATCGAAAAGATAGTGCATATAAATTAATGAATTACAATACGTATTATTAATTAATTACATGTTTTTCATTTTGTTTCAGTTTGTGGACGAATTGCATGGATTTAGGATGGTCAATCATTGTGTAAAAAAAAAAAAAAAATGGGGCTAAAATGGGGCCATTACGTTGATAGTAAATATTTTGTCTAATATTCAATGGAACTTCCTTAGGTCTATCAAATTAATTACGAAAAAGGAAAATTGATGCTGAATGTGACTTTCCACTGTCACATGTAGGTTATTATCAGATCCATATAAATGTATATTATTTCCACAATATGCTGCTGAGGTATCTTAGTGATTTCATATTTGTGATATGTAGTTAGGAATCAGTCTTTTATGGCTGTGCTATGGATAGGTACACTAGTGTTCTACAAAGAATAATTGCCACAGAGCTTCAGAATAATTCTTTGTGGAATGCATGTGTATGTGCAACCTGTACATTTTGGGATCTGCGTTTTTGATAATTTGTTCTGTTAAAGTATCCAAAATGTAACTCTTTCTTATAACTCTGTACTTATTCTCTGTTCTTATTTTCTATGTACTTCATATTATGTAACTGATCACATAATTATTTTGAGTCATTCAAACTTCTGTATAAGTAACATTTTTGAATTTATAACAAAGAACTCAAATATTAATAATATAAGTTTCACCCAATGTTTTGAATTTTAAGAAAATCATGATGCTTAATGTCCATAATAATTGTTTTGAAAAGGACTCATCTTGGTCAAAGAGGTTGAGATGAGATCTTTTCGAGATATACAGGGTGTCAAATAAAAAACGCCCCAAGCTGTAACTTTGTCATTTACATTCCGATTTTCATGAGCGAAATATCAAATAGTATAATAGGATAATTAAAATAGTTCGAAAAAAAAAGCAGATTGACACTAATGAAGTTCAAGCTCTTTGTTATTTCTCGCATTTTGTTTTTTTTTCTGTTCGCCAACCTGTTTGATTTATACTTAAGTTTTTTGGTTTCAAGTAGCCTTTCTTGCCACTTGTCCAGAGCTTATTTGTTCTTCTTTCATTGGCAGGTCTCCAGAGTCCGCTTATTAGCAGCCATCACTTCCCGGATTACTAGACCGTCAGGCACAGAACAGTAGTAGAGAGAAATGTTCACTCTGTGTTAAAATAAGAGCAACACTACCCCCTCTAGATTAGTATGGCACACACGCGTGAAATTTGATTTCTATATACAATAAGGTCTCGATTTCCGTCGGGGTTACGTTCCGGTAAAGTGCCACGCCAATCGAATCACATTATTCCATAAGACACCATATAAATTTATTAGATTCGTTCCGGCAACGCGACGTCGTAATTACTGTGTGAAATGCGCACACATATGCAAATATTGTACAAAATCATTGCTGGGATCAATGTTGGGGAGTATTTTAATAAACTATTCAATAATAAAAATATTTATAATGTATGTATGTACTATAAAAAACAATATGAACAGTAAAAAAATAATACAAATATTGTAATAACAAAATAAATTTATAATTCCTAACAATAAAAATATTTAATAAGATAAATGGGATGAAATTATCCATATTTCTCTAATATAATAAAAATAGGATGTGCATCTAAATTCCTCTTCCGGTTTTTCCAACACTTCATCTTCCGCTAATTCGGAAAATATTCGTTTTCTTTTCCTAATACGTTTCTCAGGAAAATCTGCTGAACTTTTCATGTGGCACGCTGTAGTTCTTGCTTTTTCTAAAAATTCATTAAACTTCGATCTTAAATTTTGGACATCCTCGTTAATTTTATTTATTAAATTAAGTGCCGAGGCAAGAACCATTGCTTTTCCTTGAAGTAATTTGTTGATGCTATTAATTTTCGATACTATTGTGAACCACACTGATAAAGATAAAATAAAAGGCATTTTTTGTATTGAATTTAGTATACTTTGAGCTTCGGAAACGACAGCGTTGTCATTACTTGTTTCAGTTAGTTCTTCCAAGGCATTACATGTTTCTTCAAACTGTGTGTACACTGCTTTAACGGAATCTATTTTGGCTTCCCAACGAGTATCACATAATGGTTTTAACGTAATATTTAAGTGCTTTCGTAAAATTTCCCACCTTTTGGTTGAGGCAGAAAACAAACAATATACGCGTTGCAGCAATCCAAAAAAGTTTTTACAATATATGCTGCTAGAAGCAGCATCACAGATTAACAGGTTGAAAGAATGTGATATGCAAGGGACATAAATTGCATGAGAATTTAAACTAATTATTCTGGACTGTACGCCTTTATATTTTCCTTTCATATTGCCCCCATTATCGTATGCTTGCCCTCTACAATACATAATATCCAAATCCAGCTCATTTATTCTTTTTAAAAGGGTATTAGCTAGTCCTTCACCAGTTGTATCTGATACTTCAATAAATCCCACAAACGATTCATATATGTTTATTTTTTTATCACAAAAATGTACATATCTAATAATGATTGATGTCTGTTCGGTATGAGAAATGTCTGGGGTGCAATCCATCTGTATGCTGAAATATGTGGCGGCTTTAATATCATTTTTAATTTTATTAAGTACTTCATTTCCTAAAGCCGCAATAATTTCGTCTTGCGATCTATGTGTCAAGTGGTGCACAATCCTTTTCTTCGAATTTTTAATTCTGTTTACATGATCCATTAGTACAGGATCATATTTACTTAACAATTCAATTAAACTTAAAAAATTCCCATTATTTGGTACACCTATTACTTCATGTGATTCTCGAAACGATAAATTATTAGCAGATAAGAACAAAATTACATCTACAATTCTTTGAAATAATAATTTCAGGCGTTCCATTTCTCTATTTATATTAATTTCATTCATGTTATCAATAGTGGACTTCAAGTTAAGCCGTTTCAGTAATTCTTGCCATGCAATAAAAGATTTACAATGATATACAGAGAGCTCATGGTCTCGAAGTACACATGACAATTTTCTCCACGTATTATAACCTTGTCTGAATCGTGTGTTTTGATTTTTGTCGTTTTCTTGCCCAAATAATATACAACAAAAACAATAAACTGAGTCCTGAGTCTTTGAGTAAAGTAACCAACTACGAGGCTGAGTTTCACCATTTGGCATTTTTTTAAAATAATACGATATAGAAAATGATCTACCTTCTTCATTTTTAGGAAAAGTGCTTTGAACATCTTGTTTAGGTCCAACTTTGGTACACATCACTCTAAAGTTATGGGTTATAACATTTGGCCATAAATTTGGATCACCTAAATTTAAGTTTATTACATCATCTTCATTATTGTTATCATCACTGTTAGTTCTTGTTTTTTCCGTATTTTTTTGTATTTTGAAGGGTATCTTGTAGAGTTTGTTCGCAATCTTCTGGTGCAATTAAAGATTGAATCGAATTGTCTTCCATAGTATTATCATTTTTACATTGAAGCCAGGAATACATGTTTAATTGTGTTTTTTCGAGTTTTTGTCTTTCATTTTCCTTCTTCTCTGCTAATTTGCGTTTCTGACATCCAGAAAGATATTTTCTTGGTTGGGACATGATGAATTTCTCAAAATTCTAACAATATCGAAAGTACTTTTCTTACTAAATGTTGTACGCTCCGAGTCTCGAGGTTAACTGTCTTTATTCTACAACTCCCGTATTACAGGTTGTCTAACAACCACCCAACATCCCCTACTTCTGTTTCATTGTTAGTTTTCTCCGCGACTATTGCATCTTCGTTTGTTATATGTTTGTCATTTTCTGTTTTGGTCTCCTCCACATTTGCATGATCCTTGTCTCTGTCCTGTGTTGGTAGTGGCTGTAAATGTTTTCTGTTTCTCCGAATATCCTCCTTTTCCGTCTCTACTATGTATGATCTTGGTTCTGTTGTCGCCTCCTTCACTATTCCCTCTCTTTGCATGTTCACTATCCACACTCTTTCACCGATTTCCAAATGTATGTTTGTTCTTACTCTGTGTCTTCGATCATATTGTTCTTTCTGTTTTTCCCTCTCGGCTTCAAATTCCTTCCTCAGTTTATTATGATTTGGTACTTTGGGATCCAATTTTGATTTAAGCGTTGGTACTTTCTCTCTTAATCTCCTGCCAAAAAGCAATTGAGCCGGAGAGAACCCACATTTTAAAGGAGTATTTCTGTAAATTAACAGCGCAAGATGCGTGTCTTTATTCTTGCGAAAAATCTTTTTTCAAAATCTTTACAGCGCTTTCTGCCTGTCCATTTGCCTGCTGATATTCTGGACTGCTGGTTATACTTTTGAAACCATAATCTTTGGCGAATTGTTTAAATTCGTAACTGACAAATTGTTTTCCGTTGTCTGATCTTAATTCTATTGGAATTCCATGGTGAGACATACTAACGTATTCCTCGGCCGTTTCTCCTTCTTTTTGTTTACGCAAATTAAATTTTGCCCTCGCATAAATCACGTTATGCGTCTTTATAAATTTTTCTCGCGAGCGTACTCGAGCGTACAACATACGCTCCGAGTCTCGAGGTTAACTGTCTTTATTCTACAACTCCCGTATTACAGGTTGTCTAACAACCACCCAACACTAAACTAATAAAATAAACATGAAATATGTTTACTTACTTTCAAATTTTACAAAATATCAATAATTATGAACCGATGAATGGCACTGGCGGCACTGCAAAGTTAATAATGATACAGTTTAATTTAATGAGGTTAACTTACGAGACCTGTCATTACTTTTGACGTTTTGCCGTTAGATGGCGTGTACTATAGTCAGTTAAAATCATTGAAAAGTGTTTTTTTCGAAAACTGCTATTAAAAGTTGACTTTTGCGTAGTACTTAGCGACCGTCAAAACGATAGTTTTTTGTCAACGGGACGTAAAAGTCTTTTACGTCCAGGACGCAAAAGACTTTTACGTCCAGCTACGACAATCAAAGAATTTGATGCTATTAATTGTTAATTTATTGTTATGAACAAATTATAAACACAAAATAATCAACATTTAATTGTTTTATCATTTCATTTCATGTTTAAATGCAAATTTATAATAGTACATTTGTTCAATATATGAGGTTAAATCGATGTGACGTTAAGTTTTTGACATAACATTAAATGAATTCTAAATGTCATTATACAGAATTTGGTCTTTTTATTAATTTATAACTTTAGAATACGCAGTTTTCGAAAAAATGTTGTTTGATACACGACAGCGAAATTCTTTTGCATTTCGCTATCTTGTATCAAAAATAACTATTTTTAATTGAACAATTTTGTTTATCGGAAAAAAAATCTGATTAACAAACACTTTTAGACCTAGTTCTAAAAGCTCTTTGAATCGTTTTCGGGCCCCATGAGTTACGGGGCCCGGGTGCTACGCATCCACGGCACCCCCCCTATGGCCGGCCCTGCCATTATTCCACAGTTCTGACACGGCCTACTAATCAAAAAATTAAATTTTAACAGAAATGACAGCTTTCTTATATCGAGGTTATGTCTGAAATGTCTATCAAGTTTATTTTTTTTCCTTTTTTTTGATTTTTTTTTCAAAATTAAATAGTTGTAGATAAAGTATAGCATTCAACTTGCGTATAATGGATGTTACCCACTCAGATAACAACACTCGCTCGCTTCGCTCGCTCGTGTTGCAACTTCATCGTGGTGGGTAACAGCCGCCATTATACGCTTGTTGAATAATATACTATTTTACATCAGTACACGTACGGAATACAAAAAAGAATTTTTTTTTTTTGAAATAATTAGTTAAATTTGTGGTACAAGCGAGAATATTTGTTTTCTAATATTTCGTTTAATAGATTAACTGTGTTATTTTTAGATTGTTTATAGATTTCGTATTCTTCCAGTAAGTCCAGCTTCAAAGATTTAGGTTGGTGATGAATAAATTCCATATTATTAAGACTTATTTTATGTTTAGTTTCATGAAACTATTTCCTTTTTATTTTTAAATTCTTCAAAAAGTGAATTAGCAACTTCTAACATGGCTTCTTTCACTAATTTTCCATCTGTGAATGGTTTTTTATTCTTAGCTAGCAAATGCGATATTTTATATGACGCGATCGTTGCTGCTTTATGTTGTTGCAGTGGTTTAGTAAAAAAACTTTGCTGGTTAGTTATTATAGATTTTAAAGAAATAATTTTTTTTCTTCTAATTTCAGAGTTCATTAGATAGTCACTATCAAAATTGGTATGAACGGTCTTAAAATGTCGTTCAATATTACTTTCCTTGGGAATCTCAACACTATTATTACACAACAAACAAATACACTTCCCTTTGTAATCAACGAAACAATATAGATGTTCCCATTCATCGTTAAAATAATATGTTCTTTTTCTTTTACATTTATCTTATTTTAGTACAGTAAGGCCTCAACATTCGCGAGGGTTAGGTTCTGAAAATACGTCGCGAATGTTGAATCCGCGAATGTTGAAGCACTCGATCTTATAAAAGAGAAACTGCTTCTGTGCCATTTTAAAAAGTAAAACGAAGACGAAATAAATCAAATGGAGAGATGTTTTATTTAAAAATAGTAACAAAATTAAAAATTTGAATAAGTATGATTTTTAAAATTAATAAAATTAGTTATGTTAAATAAAACACACACAATATTTCAAAATAAAACGACTAAATTTTCTGCAACAATATTTGTATTCAAATATAATATGTACAGTAAAATAATCATTTAAAGTTAAAAAAATAAACTCGGACAAATAAAAATAAACTCAAAAATAAATATCAAAGAAATAAACTAAGAAAAAAAAACAAATAAAAATTAACTTAACCTTTCATCAACATGTTCAGGCACTGATTTAGAACACGATGGTTTGAAAAATGAATGTATGGTAGGTTGTACAGCTTTATTTTGCATATCCTTTTGAAGCTCTTTGTAAGAAGCAAGAAGAGTATTTAACCCATTTTTAAATTTTATGCTACGTTCCATTACGGGATCCATTTCTACGATCTTTTCAGCAAGATGATTTGCTTCTTGTATAAAAGAATTAAGTTCTTTCAACGATAATTTATTACAAGGAGAAATAACCTCATCTTCATCCGATCCTGATTCACTCTCTATCAGGAGTGCTTCTAAATCCGCATTGGATAACTCTTCGTTTTCTTCATTGACAAGAGATTCTATATCAGCTGCTACCACCTTTTGAAAATCGTCTCCTGGTAGCAACCGTGCAGAGAGCACAGCTTTGTCTATTGCCTCATCAACTTCAGAAGATTTTTCGGTGTCTTTTTTTAACAATTTTTTCCATGAATTACTGACAGTCGATATTTTAATGTCATTTAAAGCACATTTTATATTAATAATAGCATGTTCAATATTGTATAGTTTCCACACGTCTTTTATTGAAAGGGAACTGTCGTTTTCTAATTTCTCGTGTACAAATCCAAACGCGTGCCTGATGTAATGACTTTTGAAAGCCTTTATAACACCTTGGTCTAAAGGTTGTAACAAGGATGTTGTATTTGGAGGAAGAAATACTACTTCCACACATGGATGACCTAACTTGAGAACATCAACTGGATGAGATGTTGCGTTATCCAATATCAATAAAACACGGAATGATAAATTTTTAGATTTTAGATAACGTTCCACTTCTTTAACGAAACACTCTTTATACCATTCAACAAATATATGAGAAGTCATCCAAGCTTTTGCATTAGCTCGCCAATACACAGGAAGAGCATCTTTGTCCTTGTTCTTTAAAGCACGTGGATTAGCTGCCCGGTATACCAACATTGGCTTTGTAATAAAGTCTCCACTTGAATTTGCACACAATAAAAGTGTGACTCTATCCTTAGCTGATTTAAATCCAGCAGCAGTCTTTTCATTTTTTGAAATGTATGTTCGTGTTGGCATCTGTTTCCAATAAAGTCCGGTTTCATCCGCATTAAAGATTTGTTCAGGGCAATAACCTTTTTCTTCTATTAATTTTCTTATTTCATCAGGAAATTTTGCAGCTTGTTGATGATCAGCTGAAGCTGATTCTCCACATAACTTAACGTTATGAAGATTAAATCGAGATTTAAATCTTTCGAACCATCCTCTGCTCGCTTTAAATTTAGAGTCATCTTCAATATAATTTATATCACCCGAAAAATGACAATAAAGATCCTTGGCTTTATCCATTAATCTAGCTCTGGTTAATGGTATATTTCTGCGGCCGTTATCTTCAATCCAAATATAAAGAGACTTCTCCATTTTCTCAATATTCATATCACGAATTTGTGATGTTACTTTTAATGATGAACAGATGCCACTTTTTACGCTATTCCTGATTTCATTTTCTTTTTTCTTTATAGATCTTATCGTTGATTCATTTACACTAAAGATACGGCCCACTTCGGTAGCTTTTTTCCCTTCTCGCAGCATATCAAGAACTTGAATCTTTNCTCTATCCTTAGCTGATTTAAAACCAGGAGCAGTCTTTTCATTTTTTGAAATGTATGTTCGTGTTGGCATCTGTTTCCAATAAAGTCCGGTTTCATCCGCATTAAAGATTTGTTCAGGGCAATAACCTTTTTCTTCTATTAATTTTCTTATTTCATCAGGAAATTTTGCAGCTTGTTGATGATCAGCTGAAGCTGATTCTCCACATAACTTAACGTTATGAAGATTAAATCGAGATTTAAATCTTTCGAACCATCCTCTGCTCGCTTTAAATTTAGAGTCATCTTCAATATAATTTATATCACCCGAAAAATGACAATAAAGATCCTTGGCTTTATCCATTAATCTAGCTCTGGTTAATGGTATATTTCTGCGGCCGTTATCTTCAATCCAAATATAAAGAGACTTCTCCATTTTCTCAATATTCATATCACGAATTTGTGATGTTACTTTTAATGATGAACAGATGCCACTTTTTACGCTATTCCTGATTTCATTTTCTTTTTTCTTTATAGATCTTATCGTTGATTCATTTACACTAAAGATACGGCCCACTTCGGTAGCTTTTTTCCCTTCTCGCAGCATATCAAGAACTTGAATCTTTTTTTCTAATGTCATAACTGACTTTGCGCGTTTGGCAATTAAGTTTATTTCGTTCGCTGGTCGTTTTGTAGCCATGTTGAATAGAATAATAGTTTCTAAAAGTTTATAAGATTAATCGGATATAAGAAATTATAGAGTAAAAAAAAATAAAGAAATACTAACCTGAGTCAAGTAAATATCACAGAAATAAACACATAACCTAAACACTAAAATCGATCGAAATTAAGGGAATCCCCGTAAACCGTAACAAAACAAATTGTCAAATGTGCGTGATGGGAAGCTGGTTGCTTGTACAGCAGGCGCACCGTTTGAATAAAGAAAAAAGTGCGTACATATTCGCGAATAATCGAAACGCGAATGTTGAAAAAGGTAGCAAAGTTTAAAACGCGAATACACGAAACCGCGAATGCTGAAGTCGTGAATGTCGGGGCCCTACTGTAGTTTTAAATGCACGGTCTACGCGTGGTCTATTCGAAATACGATCACACACTAACAAAAAATACGTGCGTGTTATTAGATACGCTCAAGGTTAGCAAACTGCTAATCTATGCACAATCCTAAACTCAACTGACTACTTGCTGTATATCGCCGTAGTCCAACGAGGGCGCATTAAAAATTAGTGATGGGAATACCGCTCATAATCGTGTCGCGCTCCAAGAACGGTCGCTACACAAAAATACCGTTCCAAAATACCGTGACCTTGAGCAAAAACATAGCTGGTTTCGTAGCAAGTTAGAAAAAATTATATATTCCCATATATTATCATAATTTAAAAAAATTACAGGCTATCCGAAAATTGAAAAAAATATATATATTAAGGGAGCCTTAAACAAATATCAATATAACGGCGTTTAACCTGACTGTCTTATATGTATAACTTTATATAATATAACGTTCGGAATCTGGTATTTTAAAAATCGCGCCGAATAGTACGTTCCATTAGAATAATAATGCTCAAAAATATCGTTCCTCAAATACCGAACCATCACTACTAATATCTAATATTAGTAACGTTCTGTAACGGGTATTTTAAAATAGTGTGGAAGCGGTACGCTCCTCAAAAATACCGCTCCAAAATACCGTTCCTCAAATACCGTCCCATCACTATTAAAAATCGATCTGGGGCGCCATGGAGCCCGCGGGCGCCGCGTTGCCTACCCCTGCTGTAGTGTGCCATGGAAAAGAACCAGAGAGCCAATTTAACCGAGATACCAATTTAAGCGGCAAATTTGAAAAAAATTGAAAATGAAAATATTATTTATTATTTACAAAGTAACAAAATCATAAATAAAAATGTTAATAGTACTATTTAATATTAACGCATTGATCATTGAACATTTAATGATAATTATTGATGACATAATATTAAAAAGGATAATTTTTGAAAAACATCTTAAGAGAAACTGAAAACTAACTACCTATAAGTACAAAGATTTTCATGTCTGGTGTTATCTGAAATTATTTATAGAGATGTTTTAATACTAAATTTGTTATGAATTATTCTTAGATAGTAACAACATTAATTGGCAAAAATTACAGGATAAAACATTTCCACAAATAACTCGTTGATGGTAATAATCAGTTTCTCTTAAAAATAAAAATTTTAAAAAATTGCACATTTGAATAATTAATTATGGAATAAAATTAATTTATTTCATTTATTTCTGATGGGGCGGCCCATTGTATTTCAATTAAAACGTTTATTTATATGTAGTCGAAGTTTATTTATATGTTGTGCTCTTGTCCTGATGTATACTGATGATATTGCTTTTATTAACTGAACTCTATGATTAGAAGTCAGGTCTTGATCTAAAACATGATACTTTAAATTTTCAAATACAAATTTATGTACATCTGCAAACACAACTGAGGAGGAAAAGTAACAAAGGGGCTAAGTGCCAAAATTGTTAAACAGAGAAATTAAAAAAAAACCTTCACATACCAAAACGACAGACTTTATTTCTAAATAATTATCTAACACATATTACTTGCCTTACGCCTAAATATGCTACGACGAAAACAACAGAAAAATGAAAATTTGAATATAATAAAATAAAAAAAAAAAAAAAAATAGGAAACGGGCTAAGTGCCAGTATATTATTTTGTTAAATTACTGTAGAATGCTTCGTGTTTATAGTCTTGTAGATAAGGAATCATTGATATTAAGTGTTTTTTTTTGTTGTCACTGACATTATTTATGTCTGGTAGCTGGTTAATTGTGATGTTTTTTAGATCTTGCATGGTTTTCCCTCTTTTAAGTATCGGAGTTGCTTTCCATGGTGTTAGTTCAGAAAAAGCTTCAGCAGTAAACAAAAAACCAGGTTGTTGGGAGTCAACTATCAATCGTACAACTTTGCTAATATTCACTTTTTTGAGATTTAAGATCTTGTCGGCTGCTGCTTGCACATAAAAAAATTTTTTTGTGACATATCTACTGTTTCAAATCGGCCTGTGTGTGTGCTTGGTACTATTACATCGTGTAAGTCCTCAGGTACCATCGGAGCGCACTTACGCTTTCTTTTCTCAATCAATGCGAAATCTCTGTCGCACTGAAGAAAGCTATGTCCACTGACAAGGTACCTATGTTCGATGGTGTCAAAGAGTCCACAAGTCACTAGAAACACGTAAATAAATACAATCATTCTATTTTTATTTTGGTCGGTACAGTTATCGCTCCAAATAATAACATTCCTTTTTTCTGTAATGCCCATATTAAGGACGCGTTATAAGCAAGACGAAATGTCGTTACTGCCACGTCCTGCCACTCCTTCATGCCAGCAACACATGAATGAATGCTTCTTATCCCCAAGCTGATTCCTAAGTTATAGCTTGAACGTTAGCTCAAGTAAAACATGTCAGAGTGCGTCAATGTAGGTACGAATATGACTTGTTCTAAATCCACTGAGAACACACTCATGATGCTTCCTGGCACTTGCGATGACGCGATGTCCCTTTTCATGAGCATCGTAGCTGCTTCTGCCTTTCGATGGTGCAAATCCAAGTCTACCTTTGCTAAACGACTTCTTTCAACCTGCGCTTTTATTTCGCAATTTAATGAATCACATTTCCGACAGGTGTCACTTCTAGGTGCTCTAAATGAAACATTTGGAAAGTCTTTTTAATACGTTTCTGTAAAACTTATAAGTGGCCATGCTGTGGGGATATTTATGCTTGAACGCTTTATAAAGGCGGTTAATATTTAAATCTGGACTCATATATTCTTTGCCACTTTTTGCGCGCGAATAATGAGACTGTTCTCGGGGTATGCTATTTATGTGCTCTGTAACAAGTTTTTTATCATCCTGTGTAAATTTTCCAGGAGCTATACGAGTTCTCATATCTTTATAAACTACTTTGCCGCTTTTTTCTTTTGTATAATAGTCTCCAAATGCTTTTTTGTCAAAGCAAAGGTATTCAAAGCAAGGTAGGTTATAAAAGTAAATTTATAAACAACTACAATATTACCCTCTCCATCTGGAAGGCTATAGTGGATGGTAGTTTGACGATGACTGTCATGAAGGTCTTCATATGAGCCATGCCTTCTCCTCTTCACGCCAGTCAACTGTATTAAACCCATGATGTACGTTCCACGGACGTCAACACTGCACTTGTAGTATTTTTCAAAAAGAGCTAATCTATTTGCGTAATTCAACGACTTGCACACGAATTTGCATTTACATGTTATCTGTAAGAGTTCTAGGGTTTACACAAAAAAATATGATTCTAGTTCATGGCATTATTTACACACGTACAACTATATTAAAAGTAATAACTAACTTCTAGGTTAGGTCTCCTTTTTTCACCTACAGTATTTCTATTTTTGCTTTTATAGGAATGTCCTGCATTTTTTCGTTGTCTTTGTTCGTCACTTAATCTTCCCAATCCTTGTTTGCGACGTTCTAAATTCATTTTGAAGAAATTCACTTTATATGTAACGGGTGTTTTTTTAAGCCCGATAGAACTTTAAATTGAAAAAAGTAACACAAAAAATTAAATGTTAAGCCAAAAAATTTTTTTGATCGAAAGATCAATTCATGGCATTTAACATTTAAAAATAATTTTGGGCATGTGGGCACCGCGGTTGTTCTTAACGAAGCGCATTCTGGAAGTCCAATTTTGGGCCACTTTTTCGAGCATTGCTGGGCGATGCTACGAATAACACGAACAATGTTGGCCTCCAAGGTGTCAATTGTTGCTGGTTTATCAGCATAAACCAAGGAAATAATCGAGAGGTGTCAAATCGCACCACCTTGGAAACCAATTGGCATATCCATTTCTCGAAATCAACTTATCGCCAAATTTTGATTTCAATAAGTCGATGGTTGCGGTCGCTGTATGGCACGGATCAATATCATCCATATTTACAAACAAAAAATCATTGATCATGGTGAGGTAACGATCTCCATTGACCGTAACGCGACCTCCGACTTTATTTTTGAAGAAATAAGGTCCAATGATGCCACCAGCGTGCAAACCACACCAAACGGTGCATTTTTCTAGATATAATGGAGTCTGTAGGGTCTGTTGTGGATTGGTTTCACTCCATATGCGGCCCGTTAAGCCAAAAATGAGCCTCATCGCTGAACACAATTTTGCGATAAAACATCGGATCAGTTTCCAACTGCTCTAAAGTCCAATCGGCGAAAGAACGACGCATATGATGGTCTCGTGGTTTTAATTCCTGCACCAGCTGGATCTTAAACGGGTGTAGGCCAAGATCTTTGGGCAAAATTTTTCACGTAGTGGACGGAGAGAGCCCTAATTCCTGCGACAGACGATGAATCGATAAATTTTCTTCACGCACATTTCTTCGACGTGTTGATTTTATTGCATCATTTAGAGAGTATGTGGTATGAAATCTATCTACAGTTCCACGGATGGCTTGCTCTGATGGACGATTATGTGCATCATACAAATCACGAAGTCGTCTATAAGTTATGCGAATTGATGACTGATTTTCAAAGTAAATCTGGGTAATTTGGTAGCGTTGTTCAAGCATCAATCTGTTCATGATGATTTGCCAGAGTATACTGATCATAAATATCAAAAAGTGAGCGCAGTATCACAGTTCGTTTGACAGTTAACCCTTTCGTAAGTTCTATCTAGCTTAAAAAAACACCCTCTACTATTCTGCAGCCGTGTGACGCGAAACGATATACTCGTATTCCGGTTGGAAGTAAAAAAACGAACGCTCAACACAACAATGCCTACTACGGCACTTGACTCGTTTGATGTGGAAATGACAGAGCACTTGCAGAAAGCATCACCTATCTGCCTGATTGTTGACTGAATTTAAAGTCCTGGCACTTTGCCCATTTGATAGGATATAGTCGATGGCACATAGAACCTGTCTATAGAAATATCTCATTTTTTGGCAAATTGGCACTTAGCCCCTTTGTTACTTCTACTCCTCAACTGTTGTTAAAATGTTGGGTAAATATAAAAAAAGATTGTCACAACCGACTGGTGTTTCTCAGTCTTTCACAAATTTTTTCGGCACTTTTACAAACTTTAATCACTTCCGAGCTAGGGTATATCAACTTTCCGTTAGTTTTGGAATGATATCAAATCCAAATCCGGTAAATTATGATTTTTCTCTTCTATCAACGATGATCGACATTGCACCTAATCTTTTTAATCAATTTTCGCACGACAAGGCCACCAATATAAGCTACTACGTTATCTATATATTTGGATAAATGTAAAAAATTAGGCATCTTCTTCTTCTAGTTCAACATCGTCAAATAATTTGTACATCTTTATAAAATTATAAGACGACAAGTGATGATCAAAAATTCGTTTAGAAGATGAAAAAGAATTGAAGTAGAATCTGTTTGTACATTTCCTTTACTGTGTATCAATTCATGGTGTATAATTAAACGTTTGTAGGCTGCTGCAAATTGTTTGGCTGTTGAGTTATTATTGTGCCCTCCTTTACTCCTAATTGCTGAGAAAAATAATTGAAGGTGAACTTGACTGAATTTGTAAGTCAACAAATAGCTAAAACAATAACAAGGTAGTGTATTATATTGAATAACAAGATTAACAGTTACGTTAATATAGGTTTATCGCAATTAATGTAAATATCAAATAGACTTAGTAGAGTTTTTATTAGCACTAAATAGCTAATAAACGGCGTTTTTCTTCTAGAATGAATTAGTAAATGTCCAGAAGGTAATCTTATATTGCTTAAGTAGTGGTAGGCTTCAATTCTTAAATTCATCCAACTGTAGATTTATTTGGC